CAATTTTCGTCTCCAGTGGGAATTGAACTTGTACTCAACCGCTTGGGGGTGCGACAACTTCACCACTTCACTAAGTTACCACACCCCAGTGTATATTCTATTCAATATTATAAATAAATAAAATGCTAGTTTTTAATTTTTTAAATATTGTATCATATTACTCTTGATTTGTATAACAAAAAACCAATTTGCTAAATATTTGCGATACCAATTGAGTTCTCTTTTTAGTCATCACATTTCTATATTAAAAAAAAAGATGCTCACAGAATACTAAGTTTATGAATTATAAAGAACTTTCGAGCAAGACTTGCTAATTTTGGAAGCGAATTTTTGTAATTTGCCTACCACTGTAAGGGATTTTCTAAAAGTTCAATCATTTCTATTATGAGATATTGATTAACTTCATTTTTATGTATTACCTTTTGTTAAACTACTGTAAAAACCATTGATATGAATGACCCAGATAGATCAAGTGCTACTTTGTTTAATAACAGCTCAAAACTTTTATCACTTATAATTTGATCATACTCTAATCTAAAGTAATCTTGATATTTCAATGTAGTACCTTCAAATTCAAAGTTCTTGCATCTTGGATCGATTGCTGTTACAGTAAATAATATTTTATTATCAGAAAACTAATTATAAATAATATATTTAATTTAAATAATTAAATAAACAATTTTATATAACACTGCATCCAATATCCCCTGAAAAAGTATTCTTTTAAGTAATATCTGGTACTATTCAATTGTAAATTCTAACATTTTTGAAAAGTATTCCAATCAGTGTCTAAATAAATGTGCAGAAGGGGTAGAGCACATATTAAAAAATTTTCGCACCTTAATTAACAATGTATATGCAAAGTATATATTAAAATTTTAAATTCATATATATTTTAGATTTTGTAGTATAGCATATTTAATTAGATTATATATTTATTTGTGCTATTTGTTTAGAGGCATGCCATTTATCACATAATATTTTTTACTTAATAGCCACCCCATCCATGTATGGTGTGATCACCCTAGCTTGATTCTGATTGGCTGATT